AACAACCATCTAAAGAGGCAGAAAGGGTTTGGTTCCAATTATTTGTCACAAAAGAAATTATTAAGAGTATTTGAGCCTGGCTAGTGGGGCTCAGTGGTTGAGCATTGACCTATGAACCAGGAGGTCACGGTTCAATCCCTGGTCAAGGCACATGCAAGGGTTGCAGGCTCAATCCCCAGTAGGGGGTGTGCAGGAGGCAGCCAATCAAGGATTATCTCTCATCACTGATGTTTCCATCTCTCTCCCTCTCCCTTCCTCTCTCTCTAAAAATCAATTTAAAAGAACATATTTAAAAATATATACTCTTCAACAGATATTTGCATGGCTGGGCCCTTCTCATCAATTGATCTCAGTTCAAATGTCACCTCCTAAGAGAGCCTAGATCCTACCTGTCCTATCTGAAGTAGTTCCTTCATCAATAAAGAAATTCTCCAGCACATGACCCTGTTCGGAGTCTTCAAAGTGCTTAACACCACCTGAAATTATTTTTATTGCTTTTTTTCTTGTTAGTTGTTTATGTTCCTAACTAGAATATATGTTATACAAGAGGAGAGATTTCTGTCTGCAGCATTCTCCACTCTATCATCAGCACCTGGATCCCACTCAGTAATCACAAAACATTTTGAATGAATGAATGCAATGGAACCAAACGGATGGTCAGAGATATTTGCAATTGTGATTTTTAAATGTATACTTTTAGACATGTGTTTTACTCAATGCAGATATTTAAGGAGTTGAATACCAGACCCAACAATAACTCTGATGGGAATGTTCCTAAAATGTGCAACTATTGCTCTATTTCTGCTCTGTCATTTTTCACAGGTTTTAAATGTGTCATAAAATATTATTGGGTCAGGGACCAAGCAGGCCACCAGATGGTTGAGAATGATTTATTTCCTTGATTTCAGACCTCTGAACAGAAATCGCAGGAAGAAAGTCGGTTCTTATCTCTGAGCTTACAGAATATGAAAGATAAAAGGGACCTTGAGTTCATCTAGTCCAGATTCACTCTTAATTTAAAAACCCATTCTAACACCAATGACCTTGACTTTAATATTTCTTTGCGATAAGACACTCACTATTTTACAAGAGAACCTGTATCACAATTGGACAGATTTTGATGAACAAGCTCTTCCTTCTACTGACTTAAAATTTCCTTCCTGTGACTCTGGCTCTGGGAGCAACAATGGGTAAGTCCAGTTCCTGTTCTGACTGATGAACTTTGAAATACTTGAAGACATCTGAAATACCTCCCTTTAGTACTCACTACTTCAGAATAAACATTCCAAAGACCTCCAACTGTCCCTCTGTCAACTTGTTCTTCTTTATAGATCCCTCATCTTCCAGGTGGATGATCCCTGGGAACTCTGTAATTAGGAAACATGCATTCCAGGGCAAAGTGGAATTAAGTCTTCTTTTTAATGATGGACTTAATTGTACTTGTGCCATAAAGCTACTCAGTGATTCACGTTGGCAAGTCAACTATGCATATAATGATGCACTGTAACATTACCAATATCAACATCTGTTATTAATTAGAAGTGCAAAAGCAGATTACTCTGACATCATGAACCTCCATCTCTGCTGGAATTCTGTCTAAAGAAATATCTCATAACTGACAATGCCAGCTTGCTACTGAAAATATGAAAAATATGAAAAACGTTTTGAATAATCCGGGCCATCAAATTTGCCCAGGCACAACAGTGTGGCTTCTTTCCAGCTTAAAATCCATGGAACAAGCAATTATCGACATCCTGAAAGAATCCCATTATAAATATTACTAGTGGAGATCATTAAGATAAGCTAGTAAAATTGAACTGTATTTTTACAAGAAATTTTTATTAAATGTTAACTGCATGCTTTTCAACTAAATATAGTAAAACTGAAATAAAGATTTTGTGGGAACATCTGGAAAATTGATTCACGCTTTGCTATTCTCATGGTCTATATATATATATATATATATATATAACCATTATGACCGACCAGATGACCAGTTGACTGGTCACTATGACACGCACTGAGACCACCAGGGGGCAGATGCTCAATGCAGGAGCTGCCCCCTGGTGGTCAGTGCGCTCCCCAGCCAACCTCCTGCAACTGGCCAACCTCCCCCAGCCCCTCCCCCTGGCCGGCCAACCTCCCACAGTCCCTACCCCTGTCTCTCCCCCCTGCCAGCAGGCCCTGATTGGCCCAGCCCCAATTGGGACTGGGCGAGACGGCCCCGAATGGCCCTGATCACAGGCCAGGCCTAGGGATCCCACCCATGCACAAATTCATGCACCAGGCCTCTAGTATTAGTTATAATCATATTATCAGTATTAATCACTGAAGAAAGTAAATATTACTATACATGGGGGTATAGTCCAATAATTTCCCATACTGACTTGCCACTCCTAAAAACGAACAAATGAATGAAGTTTACACAGGGTGTTCATAGGTTTCAGTTCACATGTTTACACTTGTACCTATACTGTAATCATCTGTGTGTGTGTTTTTAAATCTAGTGGTGTTGTAATGTGTTTGAATGTCCACAATTATGCTTGCGTTTAATATTATCTTAGAAATGTTCAGCACTGCTTCTGCTTAATGGAATAAGCAGGATTTTGTTGCACTTGTTAGCTCGCCATCCCTGCTATAGACACCAGCCAATATTCAGCTTTCACCCAGAGCACAAGGTACAGCACAAACACCGAGGAACTCAGAGACACTGACCCAACAATTCTTTGTTCAATATACAAGACCTTGTATATTCTTTTTTATTCAAAGCCAAAATGTAATATGCTTCAAATGATAATATCCAAACACAATGCCTCTCAGTAGTATGAGGCATGACTAAAAGTATTTTGGTTATCTTTTAAAATAAACAACCTGAGTCATTCAGCTGTTTCAACAATTCTTGTTATGAGTTGAAATGTGTCCCCTCCGAATGCTTATGCTGAGGTCCCAATCCCCACTAACTCAGATCGGATCTTACTTAGACATAGAGTTGTTGCAGGTGTGATCAGTTAAGATGAGGTCAGACGGGAGAAGAGTGAGTGACTAGCATCCTTCTAAAAAGGGAAATTTGGAGACAGACACAAACAAGAGGAACTCCGTGGGAAGGTGAAGGCAGAGAGCAGGCGAAGCTTCTGCAAGCCAAGGAGCGCCCATGATGGCCAGCCAACCACAGAAGGTGAGGTGGGTTCTTCCTTACACCCCTCAGAAGGAACCAACCCTGCCTACACCTCCATCTCAGATTTACAGCCCTCAGAACTGGGAGACAACAAGTACCTGCTGTTTAAGTAGCCCTAGGAAATTAATAAAATTGTGAATCTCTTTAAAAAACACTTGGCACTCTTCCTTGTATGTGCCTTTGGAGCCCAAAGCTCTTTACTTTGGATATCCTTCAATGTGGCAGGGTCCTGTCCTCTGAGATGATTTTTTTAACAGCCCAAAGTTACTCACATCTAAGACACGGATGTAAAAGATCATTTGTATAAGTATTCCAGGATCTTTTTCAAATATTGTTCCTTTACACTATAAATTAATGGAGCTGATTCCTGTGCAGCTCTACAGTTGACGTTGGCAGGCTGGCTAAAAGATGTTTTGAACAATGTGAGTATTTCTAGGGAAAAATGCCTAACCTCCTAAGGTCATGATCTTGAAACACATAAAAAGGCATGTTTTATAAATCCTGATATGATTTTTTTTACAGTTTCATTCTTTGTAGCACATTGTGTGTGTGTGTGTGTGTGTGTGTGTGTGTGTGTGTGTGTGTGTTGTATCATGAGTGTGTCTGTTAAGCCAGAGGTTGACAACAGTGCTTTGTGTACCCAGGTGCTTGCCCGGAGATGTATCTGGAAAATGATTCTGGCCCCTCAGGTGAGCAGCTTCCCTTCCATTTTGAGCTTCCACTCTAGATGGAGGCTGCAGTAAAACTCTCGGGAAGGATGGAAATACCTTCCATCTGCCTTGTCCGCCACAGGAAGAGCTAACTCGGAGAGGCTCCTCAGCACTTGAAATGGGGCTAGCACAACAGAGGAGATGAAAATTGTATTTGATTTCATTTTCATTCAAGTGGCCACACGTAGCTCTTGGCTGCTGTACGGGATGGCGTAGCTCTAGATTTTAATTGGGAGAAAAAGAATTCTGTGGCTAAAAACATTTGAAAATCGCCACTAAAAGTGAAGTGATAGGAAAACTTCTGCTAACAAGGAATAAGAGATGATTCGGATAAATTCTTCCAGAAAACACAAATATGCAAGAGTCTTGGGCAGAGGACAATTGATTTTAATTCCAGTGAGCACCTAACTCCATTCAAACAGCTAACTAAAACTCCCATCCCTGTTCACTATCCAGCAGGGGGAAGGGAAGAGGAGAGGGGGGTTTTCCCCTACACGTTTTAATCTACGTGGAGGTCCTAGACCAGCCGTGGGCAAACTACGGCCCACGGGCCGGATCTGGCCCGTTTGAAATGAATAAAACTAAAAAAAAAAAAAGACCGTACCCTTTTATGTAATGATGTTTACTTTGAATTTATATTAGTTCACACAAACACTCCATCCATGCTTTTGTTCCGGCCCTCCGGTCCAGTTTAAGAACCCATTGTGGCCCTCGAGTCAAAAAGTTTGCCCACCCCTGTCCTAGACTATGTTCCGCTCAGAAACTCCAAAGTGTGTTTTCCCGACCTCCAGAGTCAGCGACACCCTCTGCCTGCCTCTGTTTTCAAAGGACCCTGAGGAGGGGGCAAGAGAATTTGATTCTTAGACAACACATTTGAAAATCCAATTAATTCTAAAACCTAGACCTTCCCAATGCCCTTTGTTAACATGTGATCAGTGCTCAGATTTGTATATTAATTTTTACCTTTATCCTGTTTTTCCACATACCAGAGCAAAAATTTCGAGGGCCTTTAAATTTGTACAGAAGAGGAAAATTTCACTGGCATGTTGCGGGTTCTATACTTGTCATTATAAGAAAACTTTTCTCCCCGATCAGCTACACACATACAGCCTTACCTCTTGATACAGGTCACTGAGATCTTCCTGGTGGGCCTGTTTGGAACATCCTGGGAATTCCCTAACGCAGCAGGAATCTGGGGGCCAGTCCATCTCTGTCATTTCCAGCCAGTCGGTGAAGTACACCACTCCGCAGCACTTGAACTGTAAAAGAATACTGGTCAGGCTCAGACACTACACAAATATTTTCTTTATTTATAGGAGGTTAAACAGCAGATTTCTTAAATTTTTGTAGCAAAGCGAACATTATTCTTCATCACTTAATGATAGGTGTACATTCTCGGTGGATGACAGAAATGTCGTAAAGGAGTCCCCATTGGAACAATTCTGAGCACTAATGCCCATTAACACCTGAAAACAGACCAGGCAGGACTGAGTCCCCCTCCCCCTCTCCCACCCTTAGATCCTCCACAAGTGATCTTAGAGCAACAGAGTTCATATGCACAACTAACGAAACAAATACCTCAAATCTTATATTTGTCATTAAGCCTCTAGACACTGAAGAGTAGCTGATCAATCTACGTGTATATGCCTAGTTACCAGTTTAACTGCTTAAAAATTCAAATATTATATTAAAAGTTTCTGTAATCTCCGGAGAAAGGTTTGTTGACCAAAGCTCCCCTCACAAAGATTACCAGACTTGGGTTCATTAACCAAAAAAAAATCTCCAAAAATGTTTGAGATGTAAACATAAGTTTGGCCAATAAATTTTTATCCATCCAAATAAGATTCTTGAACTAAATGATCATATTCTATCACATAAATCACAGAAGAAATGATATTCCTTTAGCTTAAATAAAGTTAGATTTAAGAAAAGTTATTGTTTCTTTTTCCTTTTCTTTTTGTCTCATTTCACCAAGGTTTTGCAAAAGCTTTCTCTGGCCAAGGTTTAGATACACTGCTTAAGGATGGATGTAGATTAGGTTCAGAATAATTAACTATGATAATGTTTTGCCCTTGGGTAGAGAGGGGGTTACTCTTCATAGAGTGAAAAACAAGCACTATGGGCAGTCTCTGAGAAGGACTCTGCCAAGAGCGATTGGCTCTGTAAATTACGGAGCCCAACAGATCCATCCGTGCCCAGGATTTACACTGTGCCATAAAATACCGCAACCCACCATTTCACAGTCCAACTAAAATCCACTGTGAAGAATTCTGGACTTCTCAAGTAAAATGAAACAAGGAAAAACCTGAAAATGACTATATATTTTTTCATTTGCCTACATATATAATTTTTAAAAGCAAAAATCACCTTAAGAGTATTACAAATGATGAATTACTGAATGCTATGAGTCATTCTAAAATTTTCCAAGAAACTTTAAAATATTTTTAGTCATTTCCTTTTATAAACTTGTTCTCAAAGCCATGAATAATATATCTGAGGCATCACAGATGAAGTCAAACATCATTTGACATCACATATTTCAAGTCATTAAGATTCCATAAAAATCGTATGTAGTCAAAAGACTTTACTTTCTAAAAATCATACACGACTTACAAGAGCTCCAAGTCAGTCGTTTAAAAATCCTTGCACTAAGAGAGAACACGCCTCCCTCATTTCCTAACGACATGTGTTTTTTCTGGTTGATGACAGAAGAATAGCTCTTGGCACATTCTAACCCCATCCACAATAGGGCAGCCCATTCATCAGGCCTTGTCAGGAAATGAGGTGCTCCACAGAAACTGCTTCTTCCAAATTACTTAAGCATATCACCTTCGGTGCCAAACTTTTAAAATTTTAATGTCACTGAGATATTTTTTCTTTGTACACAGTTGTTTTTCGTCCTTAGCAGAAGATACTGAATTGAAACTTTTTCCTGAAAACTCCCTTAAGCAAACCCATTATGATGCCACATATGACTGTGGTACATCTCCCTGTAGTTTTCCTGCCTCCTTCTGAACCACAGTGTGAGGCAGGGTCACTCTTGCCAACATTGTGTCAAAGTCAAGAAAATTCCATCACCATTTTATACATAAAGAAACTGAGGCTCGGATGGCTCAAGTAACTTGCCAAGATCACAGACTAGCAGGTGGCAGAACCTATTAATCCCAAAGCCTATTCTCCAACCACTATGTTAAAATAAATAAACACATTTTTAAAAGGCAGGAGTGTTTTTTATAAGGTATTTAATAAGCACCACTAGGGCTTGAGAGTCCCCGAAGCTGGAGGACGTGCACAGAACAGCACTGAAAGAGTCAGGAAAAGTGGGGCTGACAGGTCCCTCCTCGTTCTACTATTTATTTTGTTCAAAAGGAATGTTATGGGCTGAATTGTATGCCACCTGGAGTTCATGTTGAAGTTCTCATCCCCCAAATGTGACCATTTTTGAAGACAGTGTCTTTGCAGAGGTAATTGAATCAAGGTCATCAGGTGGACCCTAAACCCATATGCCTGATGTCCATCTAAGGAGATGACATTTAAACGCAAACACATACAGAGGGAGGCCCACATGAAGCCACTAGGAGACAGCCATCTGCCAGCCCAGGACAGAGGCCTTGGAAGAAACCAACAACACACGCCTTGATCGCAGACTCTGAGCCTCCAGAAATGTGAGACAACGCATTTCCGTTGTTTGAGCCCCCCAGCCTGTGGTACTCGGTTATAGCCACAGCCCTAGAAAACTAGTACAGGGGTTTTTTTTCATCTTTTAGGATACCCAGAGGTCTTCACCACCTCCTCTGGGGTGAAATAGGCCTATGATAGGAGGAGGAAATTTAGCATGCAACAAATCTAAAATTTGCAATGCTTGTACATTCGCTATCTAAGTGGAACTCCTTTTCCTACCATTTAAGAAAAAGAAAAGTGCTTTGTTTTTTTAACCTGGATTATCATGGTCTACATCACAAACCCAAAAAAATAAAAAATAAAGAGCTCTGGGCACCTTCTACCCAGGGCAGTCGCTGAACACAGCTTCCGATAAATTCCCTAAATGCTTTACTTATTTTCCGTACATGTTGTTTTTAGTCCAAATGAACAGTAAACAAACAAAGTCAGGACGCATTTAAATAAACAGGAAATCTGTGTTACAATGATAATGTCCACCATCTCAACAGCTGGAACACAAAGAGCCAGATTTGGAGATTATCTTGGACTTGAACGTCTGCCCATATTCAAGCCAGAGTAACGGAGCAGAGAGCTGGTTATCTACCGTGGAAGACACTGGCCCTCAAGTCCTTTGCGGCCCAGCTCTAAATAAAATGAAAGGAAACGGATATACTTGGTCATCTGGAAATGTCACTCCCATCACAGGGAAACTGCTTGGAAGAGAAGCTTGGTTTGAAGCAAGATCAATGATTAACTTCAAGTCACCAGACTTTAAACATCTAAATATAGTCCCCGTGTGCGCAGATGTTTGCATGTAGTGCTATGTGGAAGTTGGGTAAGAAAAGCTAAAAGCCACTGTACTTTGTAATGTTATTGTTAATAACCATAAGCTAAATAAGATCAAGCGTATTTAATCTTCTCAAGAACTCAAGGAGATATTTTATTATCTCCACTTTACATGAGAGACTGAAGCTTCAGAAAGTTAAGTAAATTATAGAAGCTCATGAAATAGTAAGCAGTAGAGCCAGAATTTTCTGACTAGAAAGCTCATGCCTTTAACAACGTATTGACTCCTAATTCTCAAGTGAGAATGATCATTTAAAATTTTAAATGATGTTTAAAATACAAATAGCTCTAAAAGTGATGAAAAATGATCTATTCAAATAGAATGTGGATATTTATTGACTCATGAAAAGGAAACTTCACAGTAGCTTAGTGAAAAGGCTTTTTAAAAAATTTGAAACTATGGAGAAGCATGTGAAATGTAGAGGAAATGGTATATATGGAAAGAAAAGCAGAGCCTGGCTTTCCTTAAGGTATTTCTTAATAAAGAATCACACCAGTGGTAACTGAATCACAGGCTTAACTTTTCAGCACAGAGAAAGAGACCAAGGCCAAAGCTTTGAACATTTGTTTTGAAAGCCTGCCATTTATTCTATACCCTTTACCTCAGAAATGGTAGCACTTACCTCTCTCTGAAAAAAATTCCAAGCGTGAGTAAGCCAGCGGTATCTAGGTAAGCCATAATTTGTCATTCTGGCTTTCAAAGTGACCATGTCTGACCACTGTACTGGAAGCTGAAGATAAAAAACAAAAGATCAACAACTGTAACACAGCAACACACACTCAGACACACATACATTCACAGATTCACAAACTCAGTCACTCATAGTCTCATACACATACTCACACATACCTGGAATGTACTGTAATTGACAAGTACTTTATATTTGTTGTAGCCTATGTTAACTCAGAGCTACTAAATACTTACTGAACTACCTCTGTGTGCAGGTTTTTGTACTAAATGTAGAGCTATCCTATATAGTAAAAGCCTAATATGCTAAGTGTCCAGTTGTCCATTTCGCCATTCAACCAATCAAAGCATATTAGTAATATGCTAATGATATGCTAAGGCCACTCAACCACTTGCTATGATGTGCACTGATACCAGGGGGCAGTCGACTGGTCGACCAGTGCACTGATCACCAGGGGGTAGATGCTCTAACCTGTAGGTTAGCTTCCTGCTGGGATCTGGCCCAATGGGACTGAGCAAGACAGGCCATATACACCCTGGAGCCCTCTCATAGTCCCTCCCCGGCTGGCCAACCTCCCATGTCCCTCCCCAGCCCTGATCGTGCACCTGTGGGGTCCCTCGGCCTGACCCGCACCCTCTCGCAATCCGGGACCCCTCGGGGGATGTTGGAGAGCCAGTTTCAGCCCTATCCCACAGGCCAGGCTGGGGGACTCCACTGGTGCACAAATTTGTGCACCGGGCCTCTAGTGTCATGTAAAGCTGAGTAATGCAAAATCAGTTAATGCCAATATTGAGCTCAAGGAGATGACAAGATACACACACCTGAAGAGCTCCTCACAACAAACCATCCCTGCAGAGCAATGCCTTTTGATTTCACTTCAGAAAATTGCTGTTTTTGAAGAGACTCCAGATTATGGTATTAACATAAAGGGGGAAGAATCAAGAAGAAAAAGAGATCAACTCAAGCCTCACTCTGGGATAAGTTTGTGAACCCCTTTTCAAAATTTTGATTTCAGAGGCATGCTGGCATTCTAGAAAGATCAGAGCCCAAATCGAAGTGTTGTCTGTGCTTCTGTTCTCAAGTCACCTAGCACCGTGTCCCTTGACAGAATGTTTAATCGTGCCAGAGCTTCCGGTACACAACACAACACCTGACCAGAAATCTAGTCAGCACAACAGTCTGTTACCAGCTGCCCCCGGGAGGAAATGAGGCATACAAATCCCAGTCTCATGGCATGTGCAGTACTAAGGTAGCTCTCGGGAGCTGGACGGACATCCGCATCTGACCTATGGTGTCATACAGAACAGGCTTAGACAAGCAAGCTTGACACTAACTCAAGAATTGGATCATTTTGGAAATCTTATTTTAAAAAATAATGATATCAATAGGGGTAGTTTAAAAATTCCTGACCACAGATATTCTTCATTTTTCCCCCTTTGTTAGTTTTCTTTTTGATTGCTTGGAAATGCACAGTGCAAAAGCAAACACCCCAACACTTGGGCACAGAACACTGTTCCCTACATAACGGGCTCAGTGTTCATGGGGTTCAACAAAGCTCAAGGAACGAACCGAAGCTCAAGCTACTCACTATAAATTATGATTGTCTCCTATCCTTTTGAGCATAAAATACATGAAAGTGAAATGAATTCTCCAGAAATTTATCATCTGACCTAATATCAATGACAGGTTTTTTTTGAGAGAAGAAATAATGAATAAGAGGTGACAATGTATGGAGAAAGAACAGAGAAACAGACCGTCTGATGTCAAATCTTTTGGTTTGGTGATTAGGACAGTTTTATTTTTAATATTATTTTCCAAAATAAAAATAAGTTGTTTCTCCCTTTTGGCCACAATCAGTCTTGAGACCAAACGTGGCAAGAAACAGAGAAGATCACTGAGGTTCTGGAATAAAGTGCTGTGATCTAGTCCTTAAGGCAAACACTCATTTGCTGGCTCCTTGCATGGAGCAGCTATGAGCACAAAGCCGTCTACGCACAGGCTGGGCTCTGCGTGATTTCGCAGCTAGTAAACTGTAAGGGCACTTTTCACTCACACTACTGTTAGTGAAAAAAAACCAAGTTAAAAGTATGTTAAAGTTGTTTACTTTTAAACAGGCCTTGCTCTATTCTGGTGAAGGATAGACTAATGGGGAAGATTTCCATAAGCAAAACCGTGATGTATGCCATCAACTGAGATGACAGTCTGCACCCACCAGTACCACTGTGATACTTAAAAGACACTTGCATGCCGTAACAGGTTTGGCTCAGTGGATAGAGCGTCATCCTGTGGACTGAAGGGTCCCGGGTTCGATTCCGGTCAAGGGCATGTACCCTGGTTGCGGGCACATCCCCAGTGGGGGGTGTGCAGGAGGCAGCTCATCGATGTTTCTCTCTCTCATCGATGTTTCTAACTCTCTATCCCTCTCCCTTCCTCTCTGTAAAAAATCAATAAAATATATTTTTAAAAAAAGCTATCTTAAGATACTTGCAGATGGCCCCTTAACAGAATAGAAGACAGTATCTACACAGTAAGGATAAATTCCGTTCAATGAACTCAAGTTTCTTAGAATTATATTAGAATCAAAATATTTCCAGTCAAATACATTAAATTAATTCATTTCAAACTGTTTTAACGTAGGAGATTTACCAACATTAGTATGACATAAACACCGTCAAAACCATTTTTAAAATCCAGAGAAAGTAAACTCATCTCTAAAAACCCTTTGATTATAAAAAAAAAAAACACAATCAAAAGCGGAGGTGAGGGCATCAATAATTAATAATTTTATTTTGCTTGAATGTCAAAGAGACACATGCATTTTTTAAAAACCGAAAAAAATTAAGAGACCATCTCTTTATCAATGAAACACAGAAACTGGACCCCTGAAAACAACTAATTTTTCACCCCCCTTCATATGCAAAGTTTCTAGGGCACGAAGTGAAAATATGATTATCAAAGATAGCACGAATATTCCTATTTAATAGATTTCGTTTTCAGAAAGTTAGGTTTACATTAAATTACTTAGAACCCACCCCAACTTTTCAATTTTTTATAGAGAAATAAATAATTATAAATCCTCTCTTCTTGCTGAGAGCTGTCACACACTGGGGACGCTTCAGAGGGCTTTCCAGAGGGGTTCAGGGTAGAGGCAGTTGTCAAAGCATCATTTACATGTAAATTGGAGTATGCAGAGAACCCACTAGTCTGCAATTACCACTCAGTAATCAAAACAGTGTCACAGCAGATTCAGCATAAAATCTTTAATAACTGCATCAGTACCATAAGCAACTTTAATTTTCTCACACAGCTGCCCAAATGCTGCTCTGAAACAAATACAGAATGATGGTCCTCTCTGCTTAAGAACTCTTACATTTTGCACTGGCCGGTTTGGCTCAGTGGATAGAGTGTCGGCCTGCGGACTGAGGGGTCCCGGGTTCGATTCCGGCCAAGGGCACGTGCCCGGGTTGTGGGCTCGATCCCCGGTGGGGGGCATGCAGGAGGCGGCCGATCGATGATTCTCTCTCATCATTGATGTTTCTATCTCTCTCTCCCTCTCCCTTCCTCTCTGAAATCAATAAAGAAATATATTTTTTAAAAAAAGAACTCTTACATTTTACAGAGTTGAAGACTCAGCTGGGGAACCTGTCACAAATGTGCATGCCCAGTCCTCTGTCCCTTCTCCCTCTGCTTTCCCCTCTATTCTGATTTAGCAGACCTGGCATCGAGCCCTAGAATGCATATTGTTGAGAATCACCTTGGGCGACTCCTGCTAGACAGTCCAAGGACTACATGTGTAAAAGCATCATCTCACTGGAATTACCCTGACACCTACAGTGGGGGAATCTGGCCCGCCACCATGAAAACAGCCAGCGGTCACAGGCATGCAGAGGTGTAAGCCTACCACCTTCCAGAATAAAGTGAACAAACGTTAACTAAGTAATAATGGGCTGCGTGAGCAAGAGTGAAGTGCACACGGTAAGTCAAACGTGACTGCTAACATCTGAAGACTGAGGAACGTACTCGCATCCACCCTGACATAACGATAAACATTGGTCCCGTGGTTTCAATTGCAAAAGTAAGAGAAAAAAACTGAAGAGCTGTTTCCATGTAGCCAAGTGTCCAACTGTGACAGTGTTTCCAGGCTGGAGGAAATACCGCAACTCTTCAAATCCGCTTCTTGAAGTGGACGATGGCTCAGCGTGGGGCCAACAGGGGATGCGTGCCTCCCGGTGATGAGTGGACAGCTTTTTATAAGGCTTTTGGGCAGATTGTCACGCTTTCTTAAATCTTGTTGCAAATAAGAATCTTCCCAAGCTGCATACTCAAAAGTTGGTAAAACTACTTTAAAACATTTATTATTTTAAGTCTATTCTATCCATGTTTAAGCAATCTGTGGAATTAAAAACACATATCATAGTACACCAAATGAAATATTACAAATTAGGGCTTGGAACTACGCTTCAGACACAGAAAAGACAGTGTTACTTTCCAGAAGTACTGGGACAACATGTTATCATATAGTACAAGTATTCAAATCAATAGTCATGTGCCTCAGTTACTCCAAAGGATCTGCTCTCTAAGGCTGACCTGGATAAAGTTTCAGGTTGTGACTGTATCCCATTTTGAACTCACCATAATTTCCTGCTCGTATGTCCAAACACCACAAGCCAGTTCCACACAGAAAATGACAAGTAAGCTTCCAAAGTACTGTAGAAAAACAGAAAATGAATGCTGTTAGGGTAGAATCAAAGTAAAATATGGTCATCTGAGATGAGCTAAATATTACTCAGTGTTGTTTATCCGATGAAAGAAAAGAGGCACACATCTGGGAAGCTCCCTGGGGAACAGGTGGGGAAAATTCCAGCAACTTCGAGACATCTGCAGACAACACTTAATACCCACCTAGTGCTCTATGTATCAAATACTTTCATAATTTTTTTTGGTTAATCCTCACCCAAGGATATTTTTCCATTGATTTCTAGAGAGAGTGGAAGGGAGCAGGGGAGACAGAGAGAGAGGAACATGGATGTGAAAGAGACACATCTATTGGTTGCTTCCCACAGGCGCCCTGACCAGGGCCAGGGATAGAGCCTGCAACCAAGGTACATGCCCTTGACCAGAATTGAACCCGGGATCCTTCAGTCCACAGGCCAATGCTCTATCCATTGAGCCAAACTAGCTAGGGCTCAAATACTTTCATAATTAATTCATTCAAAAGCCTTATTAAATAGATAGGTCTATCTCATTTTACAAATGAGAAAATTAATGCAAAAAGTAGACAACACAAGTTGCTCAAGAACATGCATAGTAAATTTTGGAGAAGTTGCCAGCCATGTTCTCTATGGTATAACTTGTCACCTCTCCGGTTGTGCAGATAACTTTACAGAAGTAAGTAGTAAAAGTGTGAGAAAGAATGGGTTCTCTGAAGGTTCTCTGCACTAACTGCAGCAGAAAGAAAACAGCGCCACTGTTCTCGAATCTTCCACTCTGCTTCTGGTGCGGGGTCAGGATGGGGGTACCAGGTTGTGATGATTATTGATTATTTCCTGTCACTGGAGTGGCAACTCCCTTAAGGCCAGGAGCTTCATTGTGTTCCTCATCACAACGCAGGTGTTTAATAAAAGCATAAATGAAAACAAGCAGATGGCTACGGTGGCCAGGGACCGGGAGCTCCCTGCGGCTGGGTGATCGGGAGAGGCCTCTTCATGCAGGGAATCTTTAAGGTGGATCCGTGATGACAAGGAGAAGGTGATGCTGTGAAGGTGTGTGGAAAAGCAACCAGGAAGAGGCAATATCAAAAGCAAGGCCACCTTACAGGGTGAGCTAGTCAATTAAGAACTCAGAGGTACCTGAAGCACAGAGGGGGTGGGAGAGGTACAGAGCACAGATTTACTTGACCTTACAACAAATTAAATCTAAAATATGATTCAAAGAAAATATTTTTTTTTTGTAAATGATGCTGCAGCTTCATGGTCAGTGGTCTCTGCTTCATTGCCACTACATTCGTCTCAAACATCCCATCTTCTAATTCCAAGGGAAACTTTTAGTATAGCATACCCAGATCAACTGCATTTATTCTTATATTTTCTTGTTTCTGTTTGTTTGTTTAGAGAGAGAGGAAGGGGGAGGGAGAGAGAAAAACATGAGCCTGTTGTTCTACTTATTTATGCATTCATTGGTTGACTCTTGCCTGAGTGAACCCTGACCGGGGATTGAATGAACCTGCAACCTTGGCATATTAAGATGGCGCTCTAACCAACTGAGCTACTCAGCTAGGGCTGCATTTTCTTTTTCAGTGAGCTCTGAGTCCTAGATAAAGGTATCCTCATGTTGGTTTTTGCACAAAGAATCACTCTGCCATTAATTAGTTTAAGGGCTGGATCTAATTGAGGCATCTATTAGGCACGGTACTAATCCATCGTTTCAACAAAACAAAACTAACCAAGAATTAAGCAAGAGCTCTGCTGAGCTCTGTTATGGTTGGAAGTGTACTTCTGTGTCATATTTCACTACAAAACCATCGGCTGTCCTCAGCAGTATTGGGAACATGTATACACATCTCTGGTAAAGGTGTTCGCATGTGTCTCTTGTGTTTCTTACGTTCCCAGTGCACGTGGTTTCATGAGATGACCTGTACCAACCAAGTCTGAAGATCTAGTCTCTTCTTTCTTCTCCTTAATGCTATCCTTCTAGAATGGTGTAAAGAGCTCTGAATTCAGAGTCAAAAGACTGAAGTTCAAATACAGCTCTGAAACATTCTGTGACCTTCTGGCAAAATCATTGTACTGCCCTGGCATCAGTTTGTTCGTCTGTATAATGAAATTACAAATAAAGCTTTCTTTACTGCTATCAAGGTTGATTTGATAAATGGGAAAGTGCTTTGAAAAAATGTAATCCTCAACCAAGGATATTTTTCCATTGATTATTTTTTTTAAAGAGAGAGTGGAAGAGAAAGGAAAAGACAGAGAGAAATATCACTCGATTGATTGCCTCCTGCATGAGCCCTAACCAGGACCTGGGCCAGGGAGGAGCCTGCAACCAAGGTATGTGCGCTTGACCAGAATCGAATCTGGGACCCTTCAGTCCACAGGCTGACGCTCTATCAAACCCGCTAGGGCTGAAAACTTTTAAATTTCAAAGCTGTGAAGTATTATTTCAACACTATTCTGAACTAGTTTGTGAAACACAATCCAATATTGACTTGTCCATTTCTCCCGGACATAGCCTTAATTTCCAGCAGTGTGCCACAGTGTCTTCCTCATTATTATTTCCCAGTATTTCATCTCCTGTTCTTTACCATTTTACTTTATTCCATCTTCCATGTATCAGGGTTTCTCTGTCGGCTGCACATCAATCCTCGGAGGCTTCGGCGTTTAAGCCAGTTGGCTGCCTCCCCCACAAGTCTCAGCGCTCACTGATCTGCCAGACCACCGGTTCTGACTGGCAGAGAGCCTATCCTTAAACATCATTTCATCCCCAGCGTCTAAACAGTAGCTGTCACACAGCAGGTATTCAATAAATGTCAGTGGAAATAATGATCAGCTTACCAACTGAAAAAATTTTTTTTTCAGATTTCCTTGAGTTTCTCTAAAGAGAGTTTCTGCTTAACATTTGACTCCCCTTGGCTTCTGCTTACACATTTCTATTTTAAAGATTGCCTCTGTTTTACTATGTGTCTTTCATGTGGATTATACTATGATAAGTTAGTATGCCTTAAGCATTTAAGACAATTTACACGGCTAAAGAAAAGAAACAATATACAGACTCTCCCCATATATCCTGGGTTACTATTATCTAAACATTTTAAACAAATGGAGACTGGGAAAGTGTGTGCTGAGACAAGGAAATGAGAATGCAATTATTTGCATGATAAACTATTTTATTTGCTTTAAATACTATTCAATACAGAGTTCCTTAAAATAGCTAAGTTCTCCTACTGTAATTAAAGTAAAATTTGTGTTATACAAAGAAGTTTTATTCCTAAACATAATGTTCATTAAAAAAAAATTTAATCAAGTCAGGCAAGCTGATAATAGGACACAGCCCCAAAATGATGTAATTAATTTGTGATTGTTTTTCATCAAATCTCTCAGCTGAGGATAATTACTTTTAGTTAAAATGTGAGGGCCCTTGCCCTGGACAAGTGGTTCAGTAAGTTGGAGCTTCATCCCATACACCAAAAGGTGGCAGGTTCAATCCCTAGTTGGGATGCTTATGGGAGGGAGGCAATGGTTGATGTTTCTTTCTTTCTCTCTTCCTCTGTCCCTCCCTCCCCCCTCCCTCCCTTTTTTCTCTCAAATCAATAAAAACATATCCTCAGGTAAGGATAAAAAGAGTGCCCTCACTGGGTTAGATAATAGATTTTATAAAACAATGTATGTGAAATTGCTTCGTTGACTTTTTTTTTAACTATACAAATGGAAGAACACGGGCTCTGAAATAAAAGAGACCTGGCTTCAGATTCTGGCTCCTCACATACCAATTGGATGACCTTGAGCAAACCACTAACCTCCGTTTCCTCCCATGTAAAATGAGAATGCTAACACTGCCCTGCAGTGTTGTGCTAAGGATTCAGGCAGGTCAGGTGCTGTCTCACAGTGAGCACTACCTAAAGATAACCGTTATTAACCAGATCACAGTATCTGTTAGAATATAAACTCCATGAGGACAAGAGGTATCATAGAATGCTTTAAACACTTAACTCACTGCCTGACATAGGGCACATACCCAATGCACATTTCCTGCATAGATGTAACTAGGCTTGGAGGTGGTGAAGAAACTCTTTATCTCCACCTAAGACTATCAGCGTCGTTCTCACTGAAGCACAAGGGAAATCCCTGTCCAGTGCAAACATAGCTGGTATTTTTCAAAACATCTTTATTGGGAAACTAAAGCAGGAAGGGTGTGGAGGGTGTGGAATCCAACTTCTTTTATTAAAATACTGAAATCAACTTGTCTGTTATTTTAAACTAAAGTTGACCAAAGAATGGCAAAGGCTACCAGTGTCTTTGTCCCCTGCAAGTATTTGAGGAGAAAGGGAGGGGCATAAAAATCTCACTTTCCCATTTAAGCCCCTCGTGACTTGTAGGTAAATTCATCCCCCAATAGAAATAAAGGAAATTCATCCCCCCTTTGAATGTTTCATCTCATTATATGTGTACAGACAAAATAGTAAAATCTCAAGGAAGTCCTTTCTTAAAGAAAAGTTTATTTATCAAAATGATTGGGTCCCCTGTCACTCCCACTCCCCAGGATTTTCTAACAGAGAAAGCAGATTAAACATCTGCGCTTAGCCCTTCTCCCTCTTGAAATTTCACTGGAAAAACAATACAGTGATATTTTAAAGGGTATAAACCTGCCAGGCTGGTGTGGCTCAGTGGTTGGGCATCAACCCATAAACCAGGAGGTCACAGTTTGATTCCCAGTAGGGGTACATGCCTGGGTTGCGGGATCGATCCCCAGTAGGGGGTGTGCACAAGGCAGCTGATCCATGATTCTCTCTCATCATTGATGTTTCTCTTTCACTCTCCATTTCCCTTCCTCTCTCTGAAATCAATAAAAACATATTTAAAAGGTATAACCCAGAGATAAAGGAAAAGAACAACAGCAAGTATATTTTGGAAGATGCAAAGAAGATGGAAAACTAGCAAATTGTTCAGCAGTCCTTCAAAAGCTGAATGCTTACCCAGTAGTGGGGAAAGTTTGGA